GGGAAAGAGCACCGGAGTTGGAGAAGGCTGGATCTAGACAATGAACAAGAGAGGAGGGTAGGAGGAGAGAGAATAACACGTGGGAACGAAGGGAGCACCGGAGCAGGGGCATGCAGGTCCTTTGCCATGGTCTCGCGTCCGGTCCTAAGACTGTCTCCAACAAAGGAGCACCCAAACAAAAAATAGATAGCAAGAGACTCAAAATCAGTCTCCAACAGAGTATCTATACGGAAGACCTATTTTGGGTTGTCTGAGAGGCACAACCCAAATATGGGCATCCTCTCTCCTGGAAACCCATTTGCAGAAAGGATTCTCTTTTGGGTCTTTGTTGTTGGAGAAGATGCCGAATAGGTATTGAACTTTTTGCCTGTAGCGCTACCCAAAAGACGAATGAGTCTTGTATTTTGAGTGTTGTTGTTGGAGATAGCCTAAAACCACTAGTATTGTGGGACGGAGGGAGTAGTTTGAAGCGAGACAAGACAGGAAATACTCGGTTTTTTAGATAAAGGATAAAGGAAATACTCCATATACGAAATTTGGTTTTCCGCTTATTGGGCTCTGATGCCCTGCGAAGGTGTGTCTTGGCACTTTGGCAGCCTGATCGGGATGGGCCTGCAGGCCGGCCGGGCGGGGGAGGCCCTCCTGCCTGATCGGGATGCGCCTTGCCTGATCAGTGATGGGCCTTTGCGGCATTTTGGGAGGCCCGCCTGCCTGCCTGCTTTCCTTCTCCAAATCTTCCAATCTGCCGAGGCTCGAGAGAGATAGAGGTGGGAGCATCGCGCAGACGATTCTTCGGCGTATGACATGGGCTGCACGTCTACAGCAGATTGATTTTCCTTTGGGCCAGTTTTAACGTTTTCTGCTGGTTCAACAAGAAAGCATTGCAATACGAAAGTAATTTGGACGTGCTGCTATGTCATGGTTGCCATATATGATTTCATGAATTAATATTAGGGGTATGTCAAATTTTTGGCATACATGATATAAAAAATAGGACTTGCTAAAATTCATGTGCATGAGATTTTAGCTTTTTTTAAGCGACGGTTATTGCATATAATTTATGCTAAAATAACAGTTTTTGTTCTTTGCAATTTATGTAGATATAATCTGTAATTTTTTGTTGCGGGAATAAAAACCTAGTTAGACAAAACCATAAATCTGACAAAATTCGATCTTTTTTGGCACAAAGACAATTAACAATTTACAATTATTTCTATTGTAAGACAAGGATAAAATTTAATATTTTATAACATAAAAACAATTGCAAGCGAACGCTAGACCAGTTGGTCTGGCTATGCACTTTGCACCCTGCTGACCAGAGTTCGACCCCCCCGGGTGGATTTATTGGCTGGAGGAGGCGCAGTTTATCTGCGCGTTAAAAAAATCTTTTTAACATAAAAACAATTAACAAACCATCACAAACTTTACAATAGATAATCCGTACCGGCCGGCCGCCTAGTACGTGCATACGTAGCTGTGTGTTCTCATACACATGCCGTCGTTTCCTTATCCAAACTGGTGGGTGCGTGTGCCGTGCATGCATACCTGTGATCCGGAATACGCTTGCTGCCTCGCTGGGGACGGACGGACGGTGGCGCATGGAGCGTGTGAAACCGTCGCCTCAATCCCAATCGTTTTCTCAGGCATCTGAAGGGTAGGAATCGTGATTAAAAATTTGCCAAATTTTAATAAATTCGAGTCAAATTTGAAATGCATGTAAATTGGGTCAATTTTTTGTTGTCAAAATAATGTCTATATGATTCCTAACCAGAGGAAAATCAGAAAGAACTACATGAACAAAGTAGCAATTAATTTCATAAATGAATTGACACCATGACGGGAGACTCGAGAGTAGTGCCTGCCATCCCAAACGTCAGAGTCGTGGCGCGTAACGCGCTCCTACCGTCCTACGCGAACAAAGCACGTGTCAGACTAGGCACCGGTAAATAAGGCCTCGTATAGTTGCCGGAGGTAAAGTCTCGGTGTCACGTCAGACGTTAGAATGTCGCTTGATATTAATAAAAAAATAAATTATAAAAAATAAATTACAGAATCCGTCAGTAAACGAGATGAATTTATTAAGCCTAATTAATCTGAGGCAGTAGCACATGTGCTAGTGTAGCTTAAGTAAACTTTATTATCAAATCATGGACTAATTAGGCTTTCGTCTCGCAAAGTAATCGTAATCTGTACAATTAGTTATTTTTTTAATCTGCATTTAATACTCCATACATATGTCTAAACATTCGATAGAATATGATATAAACTTTTAGTAAATAAGGTCGGCCAGCTAATTGAACTAAACAAGGTATCATACCTCGAATTTATCCAACGTAAAATACATAAACTAGTAGCAAATACATTCTGAAATATAATGCCGAATGCCAAATCGGTAGTTATTAGTAGCACAAAGCTAGCGGGACATGCATGGTACGCCGCCGGCCGGCAGCCTGTCCGCACTGCAGCACGTAGCTGAGCTCGATCAGCACGCGCCGCGGCGGAAGCCCACGGACCGGCCGCCGACGTCGTAGAGCACCTCGATGGTCTGCTGCTGCACGTTGCCGATGATCCCCGGAGCGCGGTCGTCGCCGTTGGGCGCGAAGGCGAGGCAGTCGTCGAGCAGGATCCCCGAGGGGTCCAGCTCCACGGCGGCGTTCCGGTCGAACACCAGCGCGACCCTCGGCACCCTGACGACCATGACGCCGGTGAAGTCGTAGCAGGTGTCGAGGCTCCCTTTAGGCGGCGCCAGGCGGTATGCGCCCATCCTGCTCCGGAACGCGGCGCGCAGCGCCTGGTACGCCGTCGGCGGCAGGCGCGTGATGGCCGTGCGGGAGTCCATCACGGAGCCGGCGGCGAAGACCGTCGCCGGCACGTTGAGCCGCTGCCCCGCGACGGTGATGCCGCGGAGGAGGACCCGGTACAGCGTGGGCGCCTGGGTGAACCTCAGCATCGGCGTCGCCACGAACGTCCTCGTCCTGGAAGACGGCGGCTTGCCGAGGACGAAGAACCCGGCGTCGCTGGGCGTCGGCGGGACGCAGTACGAGAAGGCGTTGCCGTGGGTGGCCGCCGTCTGGGACACCAGCGACTCCGGGCCGCCGCCGAGCGACATGGTCCCGGATGAGCTGCTGCTGGCCTGGCTCAGACCTTGTTCGGCCAGGCTGCAGCCGAACTGGAAGCTGCGGACGGCGGTGGTGCGGGTGATGGTGAGCAGGTCGGAGCTGTACGTGCCCAGCGTCGACGACCCGTCGGGGTAGGTGACGCGGTACTGGCACTGTCCGTTGATGCAGCCGTTGCCGTATGGGCCGAGACGCGCGCACGCCGGCGAGCCGCACGGGAAGGGGCGCGTAGGTGGGCGACCTGGTTGGGTCGAAGAATCTGCTGCCGCCCGTCGGCGGCGGGTGGCATTGCACCCACGGCACGTCGCTGGCGGTGTCCACCATCATCGTCTGCACCGTCCCCGGCATGCTCCGCCTCCTCCTGTCGCCTCCGCCGGTGGCCATCGGATCAATCCTAGACTGCAGGAAAAGGGAGATGGATCGATCGATCGCGCGCTTACTTAATAATTAGACAGAAAAGAAAACTGAATAATCTTGGTGACAAAGAAAAAATAGTTTCGTTCGTAGTACCGTGGAAATGCTACTTGCTGAGCCGACGTTGACGTCGACTACGGGCCCGTGTTCCATAGCGGTTGTGGTGCTTTTCGCCGGGTGCTTCTTGACCTTCTCATCGTCGGCGGCATTGTCGTCATCACCAGCAGACAGCAGCGTCATCTGGATGTTTTGCACGCGGAGCTCGTCCTGCCGTAGCAGCTCGGCCAATGACGGGCCCTTGCGGCGGTGCGACGACGGCGGCGAGCAGGGGCCATGGGAGAGACTCAGTCGTAGCCACGTGGCGTTCTGGTGACCATGAGGTGGAGACACTGCAACAACCAACATCATTCAGTTCGTTCAGTAGTATCACTAGCTTCAGATCAATTTTTTCAGCTGTGCGTGCGTGTTTTCGATGGGATCGTGCACGTACCCCTGTGTCCGGTGCAAGCAGCTTTGGGCTTCAGCGAGCTGATCGCCACGAATGTGTAGTCGTGTTCCGCGTCTACTGCTGCACGGACGACAGGGACACTAGTAGTAGGAGAAGAAGAACAGGACAAGCTGTGGCTGAGCACAAGGAACAGAAGCAAGACGACAGCATCCGCCATGGCTAGCCGTGCCAAGTAAGATCAGGGTGTCTTGCTCTCTAAGTGTCTCTAGATACTTCACTGGCTTGCGGTGCAACTCGGACACTCGGTTATATAGGCAGCAAGGAAAGTGAGGCCACACATGTACACAGATCCAACCACCACCACGCACACACGGATGTTGAGTAGGTAGCAGCTTCACCATGATCGAATGAATAATAATGTGCGCACGTTTAGTTAGGTTGTGCTTGGTTGAGGGTCCGAGTGGGTTGACATGAGTCAAACCTATTTTTCTAGTGTTTGTGTTTCAGGACTAGAGGGTTGGGTTCCATGCCAATTACGTACATGATATAATCTTTAATTTGATTTCCATGCCAATTACTTCTGACTGTATTAATGCATCTCGAGAGTACCATATTTCCCTTCCCAATCCTTAGTTTTAACAAGATGAGAAAAAATCCCTCTCCAACAACTTCTAATTCGTGCTCCTAAAATTTACACACTTGAAAAATCCTCCCCCGTCGTGCGTAACTTAGTGCGTAGTTGCGGTCGCGCGGATACTGCTTTCCCGTGCCTATTGGTCGGTTCTAGATACCCACATCCACAACGAGATGCCTATATAGGCTATATATAATGACTTCGACAATATCATCATCAAGACATTCGGCTTGGTCCATTGGAGTTTCCAATAAGAGGAGGGTGTGTGCATATATATGTGAGTGCTTACGTCTCTATACTGTTTCAAAATTAAAAAAAGAATAATATCCGATATATTGCAGTATGTGCTTTGATTCGAGCGTTAAACAAAATGAAGTTGCATAGTACGTTAGTTCTCATTGAATTCGCCTGCCACAGCCCAGAATTTAAAATACACAGGTGCCAGGGTAGACAGATTACATAATAACAACAAAATACACAGGACTCTACCGCTGGGGTTCTCGGCCCGGAGGTTGAGCTGCAGGGTCACCGCCTCGCTCGCCGGCTGCGGAGTGGAGTACACCACGCCGTCGACGACGGAGAGGCGCAGGGACTCCGGGCGGAGCACCACCTTCAGGGAGGTGACGACGACGGCGACGATGAGCACGGTCACCATGGCAGCCACCGTGTACCGCGCCGCGTCCAGGCATCGGAACGCCGAGGTCTCGCCGTCGTCCAGCCTATTCGCTTGGTCGTATTTGGCTTATAAGTCATGGCTTATCAGCCATCGAACAGTATTTTTCTCTCGCACCAAATCATTCAACGGTACTTTCAAACAAACAGAACAGTCGTCCCCGTCCGCTCTCATGTCTACTGACTCCACTTCAGCAATGTGGCTCTATCAGTCTATCATTTGATCAGCACCTACCTGTACCTGCTCATGAATGCGCGACAGAATCAATTGATATACAATAATCGACCAATGATGAGTGATTAGCTTGTTGATTGGTGCTGACACGTACTTTGAAACAAGTTTAAAATATCATTTTTCCTATGTTTTAGCTAGTTGTCTATTATGTGAGCTAAAAAGATGAGCTCGAGCTATTTGTTCCATTTCAGCTTATATAAGGGCACGGGTCTGTTTAGATCAGGCTAGGCACTTTTTCACCGAGAACCGAACCGAGCCGAACTGAACCAAAATATTGGTTTTTTCGGTTTTTGGTTTCGGTTTCGGTTCTAGAGTTCCAGAACTTCGGTGTTCGGCTTCTGTTTCGGTTTTGTGCTCTACATGAACCGAAGAACCATTGAAACCGAAGCCACCGGACCTCTCTCTAGCGTCGCGAAGAGAGCATCGCATCAGGCGTCCAGGCCACAGTCCCACACGGCCCAACAATCCAACTCCCATCCACATACCACTCCAACCTCCATTCCCGTCTTCCATCCCCATCCGCACCCTAACCCTAACCCAACAGGACCAGCAAATTCGCGGCGCAGGGCGCAGCTCTTCACGTGACGCCGCGAGTAGGGATCCCCTTGGCGCGGTGGCGAGCAGGGAGCAGGCTTTGGCGACACGCGTAGGGAGCTGGGGTCCGGCGGCGGCGCATCTGTAGCAAGGTCTGGTGGCGGAGCAAGCAGGGCATGCCGGAGGTGCAGACACAGCGACGCCTCGCAACTCAGTTTCTTCGGTTGAAAACCGAAAACAGAAGTAGAAAACCAACACCGAATTTATCGGTTCTCGTTTTTGAATGAACCGGTCGGTTCCATATTCTTGAAAACTGAAATTTTTTAAAACCAAACAAACGGAACGGAATTTTCGGTTCAAACCAAATACCCACGATGTTTAAATGTGCTAAATTGTCTCCTTCGGTAAATTAATGATCCAACTTCTCAGGAAACTGAGTACACAGCCAAAGGAGCTGTCATATCATGTCAGACACAAGTACGACCGTCGGTGGGGTCAGCGTTGTTGTACGGATGGCAGGGTAGATGATGCAGACCCACATAAGGCCGCGTTTAGTTCCGGCCAGATTTGGCGCCGCCTGAATCGGTAGCACTGTAGCGTTTTGTTTTTATTTGGAAATAATTGTCCAATCGTTGACTAATTAGGCTCAAAACGTTCGTCTCGTAAAGTACAACCAAACTGTGCAATTAGTTTTTGATTTCGTCAACATTTAGTACTCCATACATGTACCGCAAGTTTAATATGACAAGGAATCTTCTTTTTGCATAGTACCAAATTCAGGAATTTGAGGAACTAAACATGGCCTAATTCATTTGCATGGCATCTCACCTGCCAAGTGGCGGTACATTAAAACCGCGCGCGCCAGCAGCTCTCAACAAGTCGTCGTCGTCCTGGTCGTCCCGCGCGGCCAATGAGCACGTTCGTTCGAGAGGCGTCTTGTTATTGATGGCACACACTAGAAAGAAATTATTAGCAAAAAATAAATAAATGCTAGTGTGTAGTGTTCCCATTGAGCCACATCCGGCTGCCCGGCTGTACTAGCTGATAGGGATGAAAACGGATCGGATACGAACGGATATCACTAATATTACATTTGTTTTTATATTTCTGTTCGGATTCGAATTCGAATACGGATAGTGTCAACCATATCGGATAGGATACGATTGGATATCGACATCATAAATATGCGATTTGAGTATTCGGATACGGATACGGTATCGGATGTTGAATATCCGGACTCGGATATGAACAGATCTGAACCCCTTTAAACGAATTCGGTCTCGAATACGGTCGGAAAATATCCGTACCGTTTTCATCCATACTACCTGAAGACATGAGTGAAGTGTGGGTTATTGACTACAGATCCTTTTCGTTGGGCATCATTTAGGGATATTGCCACAGCATGCATGCATGGGCACCAATTCATTTCAGCCTGCAGCTCCGGTATGGTTTTTCTGATGTCATCTCGGATACACGTCACTTGCTTTCAGTGATGTGACGTATACCATACGTGGTGTCCTCGCCCCCTTTGTGAGCGCAGGCTCAACACGAAGGAAAAAAAGTTATTTTAGCCTAAGTGATAATGCCACCTGGTTATAGAAACGGTAAGGGGGCCCGTGACTCAAGTTTAGGAGGTGTATATAGGGATGTCGTATGAGTGTTCGGATAATAATAAAAAAACAAATTACAGAATCCGTCCGCGAGACGAATTTATTAAGCCGAATTAATCTATCGTTAGCATATGTTACTGTAGCATCTGGTTGTCAAATCATAGACTAATTGGGTTAAAAAAATTCGTCTCGTAAAATGGTCCAATCTGTATATTTAGTTTCATAAATAATATATATTTAATACTACATACATAAGTCTAAACATACGATAGGACAATGATTAAAGTTGAGGGTGTGGAACAAACACCCCCTAAAACTGTAGATTTATCTTTGGGGGACTGTAGATTTCTCGTCGCTAGACAACACTTTACATCTTAACAAGGGACCCACTACTTTATTCACGGTAAAAAGTAGCTTTGGCTACTTTTCATGACTTCCAGACTTTCTATGGCCCTTTAGATACGTGGTTGAATTTTTCCTTCACCAACATAACGGCTCCAGATCTCCATGTCATAGAGGACAGTGGCTTCATAGGCGTCCATGAAAAGCTATTGATTACTCCCTCATGTTAATAAAAGAAGTCGTTTTAAATAGCGATATATTTTTCAAAGCACAACTTTAACTTCTTGTTTTTACAAAAATATTTATTAAAAAGTAATATATATCTATATTTTTATGAAAGTATTTTTTAAGATAAATCTATTTATGTGGTTTTCATTTTTTCAAACTCAACAACTTAAAAGTTATTCATGATTTATATTCTCAATATTTGACCTAAATTTTGTTCAAAACGACTTCTTTTATCAACATGGAGCGAGTACTAATTATCAACTGCGCACATGGATGTTGGCTTCCTCCCTCCAATAAGAGCAAGACAACATATGTTTTTCTACAATAGGAGCGGTGAAGCCACTGTCAACTAACGTACGCACATGGACCCATGGGGTTAAGGGAGCAAGACAAAATATGCTTTCTACAGTTATGGCAGTCCCAATGCTTGAAACTATATGTAGTTTCTATACCTATTAATTTCTATAGACACTATATATATCTAAAAACCATGGTCCCAATGAATAGTTATACAGAATAGTTTTTTTATCCAATCACATACATTCTCTCTCCATTCTTTATCAATCATATCCCTTCATGTCTTGGTTCTCGTGTATACATGGTTTCTAATTTAGACCTGGTTTCTATGATTTTTACTCTCTCTCTCTTCAATAACTACCTTGCCACATCAGTAAAACGCTTAGGTGGTAGTACAATTAATGTCCATAGAAACTATGGTGGTTTCTGCATTAGGAGTGCCCTAAGAGCATTAAGACAAGACCCCCCTCATATATTTGCATGACATCACGAAGATAGGATATTTTCTTTTATTTAGAGGGATGATGTACTAGGTTCATGGACAAATTGTTCTAGATTCACACGAAAATGGCCCTATAGATGATTGTTCTAGCTCGACGAGATAATTGTTTTAGATTTAAGAGAAAAATATAATGCTCTGACCCCATGGGAAAATTGCTCTAGGTTGATTAGAAATTTGGTCTAGATTTGGGATAAGAAAGCTCCATTTCAGGACAAAAAGTTATTTCTTGTTCAAGATAATTTGTTTTGCAATGTCATGACAAATGTTTGTCGCTTCACAAGAAAAATGTTCAAGGTTCATGAAAAAAGGAAAATGTGCTGAGCAAGTTTGAAATATAAATGATAAAATACAAATGATTCGTAAGTGGGGTCAGCGTCGTCGTACTACGGATGGCAGGGTAGACGCAGACCCTCACCAGCCAAGTCGTCGTCGTCGTCCTGGTCGTCCCGCGCGGCCAATGAGCACGTTCGAGAAGCGTCTTGTTATTGATGGCACACATTAGAAAGAAATTATTAGCAAACAATGCTTATGTTGAGTACGTGTAGAGACTCTGAACCTACGGACGGTCATTTGTTGTGTACCTAACGAACGTGCTCCAATAAGTGTGTACTGTTCCTCCCATTGAGCCACATCCGGCTGCCCGGCTGTACTACTACAACATTATTGAGTGAAGCGTGGGTTATTGAGGAACAGTATATACAGATCATTTTCGTTCGGCATTCATTGGATATGCCGGGACTCTTATTGCCACAGCATGCATATGTCATTTCAGTCTGCAGCTCCGGTACGGTTTTTTCAGATGTCACTGTGTTTCTCTCTCACAATATTTTAGTATAAACACCAGCATCAATCGATGGCTGCACATCCAGTTGACCTCCTCCTAGTTAACCTCAGGCACAATAGGTTGTAATTAGATCAGATCAGAGATTGAAGGTAGGGTCTGGGTGCTCGGTTTCACACAGCAGAAAGGGAAGAGAAAGGGTGGGCGTACCTAGAGGAGGAAACGCAAACTGACACGACGTCGAGGTGCGCCCGTGGAGGGGCCGCCGCGCCTGCACAGCCGCGTGTGCTAGGGTTTCGTCGAGCAGAGAAGCACACGCTCCCCGGGGGAGGAGGTGTTGAGGAGCCCGCGCAGAGGATGAGGGAGAGGGAGGGGCCCGCTGGGCCACGCCCGGGCCGGAGCGCCGCCCGCGGGGGGCGCCGTCACCTCGCGCCCGCCGCCACCTCGGGAGGGA